CTGTTCAACAATTATCTCTAATATAAGTCCAATATCCAAAATATACATACAGGGACTTAAAACACAAAAATATGACCAAGAGTTACTCCAAAAGAATAAATGGTCAGTCAATCAACAAGCATTTATTAAGTGCTTACTATGTGCTAAGCACAAAATACACAAACAAACATTTCTCCAAAGAATTGCAAACTATGAATATCTTATGAAAGGTAGAGAAACTGAAGTACAGAAAAGTGAAATGAGCTGTTCAATGTCACATCAGGTTAGGGTAAAAAGTAGAGTTTGGGGTTGTGTAAGGGAAATAAAAATCAAAGTAACTCTTAAGTTTTACTTCACAACCAGAAAACTGCCAAATATGACAGAAGATGGAAACAGTCAATGTTGGAGGCATTTTGGAAAGACAGATACACTAATAGACAGTTGGTGCAGCAGTGAATTGGTCCAGCCATTGTGGAAAGCAATTTGGAATTAAGCTTTTTAAAGTGACTAAATCTTTTGAGCAAGAGCACTCACAGTGAGACCAATTATAACTCAAAGATGTCACAGGCAGAAAGACAGGTCTCAAATACACCAAAATATTCATAGCAACACTTTTTGTTGTAGCAAATAGCTGTAAACAAACTAGATTCCTCAATTGGAGGAGTGGCTACACAAACTATGGTCCATAACTACTGAAATGTTACTGTGTTATAAGAAACATCAAATATGAAGAACTCAGAGAAGCATGAAAGGAAAATGCAAATGAAATGATGCACAGTGAAATAAGCAAAAGCAGGAAAACAATATACAACTGGACTCCAACAATGTAAATAGAAAGAATATAATATATATTAATAATGACTATAATATAAATTAATAAGTAAATGAACAAAGATTTGTATAATCATAGTGACCAAACCTGGCCCTAAAAAAAAGCTGAAAACATGTACTTCCCTCCCTTCTTCATTAAGATGGGGATTACTGGTATGGAACACGGAACAAGACTTAGGTATTATATTCTTGCAGAACTCCTTTTTTTTTCCTCTTTCTTATTCTTGATTATAAGGAATGGCTCACTAGGCAGGGAACCCGGAAGGGACCTATTTGTAAATAAAAGTGATATAAAAAATTGCAAAAAATTGCAAAAATAAAAAAACTGGCATTTCCATAGGAACCTAAGAATACTTCTAGGCCACAGATCGCAAAACAGAATATTAAATCTTGAAGTAACCTTAGAAATCATTCAATTCCAACCCTCTCATTTTAGAGAAGAAGACACCGAGGCCTAAAAAAGTAAAGAGATCTGCCCAGTGTCCCACATACCCAGTTCATGGTAGAGATGAGACTAGCCCCATGGCCTTCTAACTCCCAGTCCAGTGTTCTCTTTACTCCAAGATGTAGCTTCCTGAGAAAAGTACTAATCCTGAAGGAATGATGTCTAGAATCTAGATTGTACTTTCTAGTTTAAAAGGTATTTTCCTCATAATAACTTTGTGATATAAATTAGTGCAAGTACTTTTATTCAAATACTACACATTTGAGAACTGAGGCTCAAAAAAATGAGGTGATTTGCCCAGTCATAATATACTGCTAATAAATATCAGAATCTGGACTCAAGTTCAGGTCTCCTGATTCCAATTCCATAAGGCCTCCATGCATTTTTCTTCTAAGTCACTATGACCATATCCCACAGCTAGCATTAAAATTCATGAGAACACAATGAAAATTTTTACTCAGACCTGAAAAAATAGAAAATTTGTTGCATCTTCCTGGCTATTCTATTAATCTAAGTATGTTTAATGTAAGGCAGATTAAAGAGTCAGTGCTTTGCAGAGATTCAAACTTCACAATTTTTTTTTCTTTTGCATATCCAGTGTTATATTACTTTAAAACAAGAATAGGAAATCTCTAATTTGGGGGTTGTTAACCTGGGGTCTGTAACTTTTTTTTAATATTTTGATAACTGTATTTAATTATAATTGAATTCCTTTGTAATCTTATGTATTTTATTTTTTTGTCTGTTTTTTGCTAGGCAATGGGGTTAAGTGACTTGCCCAGGGTCACACAGCTAGTAAGTGTCAAGTGCCTGAGATCACATTTGAACTCAGGTCCTCCTGACTCTAGGGCTGGTGCTCTTTCCACTGGCCACCTAGCTGCCCATATGTATTTTATTTTAAGCATTGAAAAATATTATTCTGAGGAGTCCATAAGCATCACCAGATTACCAAAGGGCCTCAGGACACACAAAAAAGTTAAGAACCCCTGCCGTAATTATGAGGAAATTATGCCTTTGGTTTAATTTCAATTTTATCAGACTCTTGCCAAACATAGATTAGTTGGATGCAGTGCAGAGAAAAGAGTGTCCCCTGGTGGACTCAGCAGCTATTCCATTCAAAATAGGGTCTCTGCATAATTGATAAGGCAACTGAATCACTCTGAATGGTGGGTTAACTCATTCTTTCTTCCCAAAGAGTGTTTTTGACTTGTAACTTTGACTTTCTTCTCAATAAGACCCAACAAGGATCAACTGTACAGAAGATAAAATGCCCCAGAATTATAAAATAAAGGCTAATTTCAATGTAATTTTCAAGCATTACTGAGAGGCAACTTTAAACTTTCAATAAGGATGTTACGAACAATAGAGCTGTTATCAGAAAACCTGTGTTTGGGTCTCACTAAATTACTTATGAGCAGGTCAAACAAAACCTCTCTCAGCCTCATTTTCCTCATCTGTAAAATGAGAAGGATATAATTAGATGATCAAAGTCACTTTCAGCTTTTACATTCTGTGATTTTATGAATATCAAAAGGAAGCAACATTCCCTAAAGTTCTAAAATAAATGTCTAAATACTAAGTTGTTTCTTCAAATAGTACAAAACCTTTAGACTCAATTCCGTGGGAAAATGTTTCAGGAATTAACCATAAAGTTCTGAAATGAAAGCAAAAATTATGGTTCCCACATAGGAAAGTACTGGTGATGTTGCAGAACTAATAAAAGCTTCCAAATGCTTGTGTCAACAATCTCCAATGTGCACACTAACTTCAGAATAAATTGAGCTTCTCAAGTCTCTGATTTTCTCCTTTCTTTGTTTTCCTTCTCAGTGTTCTCCTTCTCCCTCCCACCCCTTTAAATGATAAAGTACATTTATTACTATTTGTTAAACAGAGCTCTCCTTTTCATTTAAAAAGGCATTGAAGGAAACATATTCATTTCTCTATATTAATTCTAAAAAAAAAATCATTCCTTTAAATTGTGAAGTCCTCCATTCGTGTTTTTTCACTTGTGGGTCAAGGTCTCTCAAGAGAAAAATGGTGCCTCTTACCCCTGATTTAATAATATAGCATTTACTTTAAAGTGGTGACCTAGGAAGAGATATTTTAAGGATCTTTAATTACAAAGACAGAAAACTGTGTAGCTTCCTAGGAAAATTATCATTTAAGATCATTAATGCATTACAAGTAGAGTTTTCTATTTAATGGGATTTATGTGTAGAAAATCAGTATAGCACAAATGTTCTCTAACTGCATGTGTCTGAATCAATTTATCTACACTTTGCAAATGTATGACAATCATAAACAAATTGTAAACGCAGTACTTGCTACTCATATCCAAAGCAAATGAATTAGAGCTAAAGAAAAACAAAAAAGGGAGTAGAATAGAAAAGTGGAACATTCCAGAAAGTTCAGAGAGTGTTAATACATGGATAGGCCCTCAGGTCACTGATTCCAGTTCACCCAGGGCAATGATAGCTGAACATCCAATGAAAGTTGTGTGAAACAATTAAACCAACTGACCCCAAATCGCTGAAGGCACTTATGTCATTACAACAACACTGAAGACCAAAGCTACTTTGACATTTGAGGGAAATTGTGATAAATAGTGTTTTATTCTCTTATCATTAAAAAAAAAATGAGCTACTGAAGGTTCAGAATTTCAGAGAGTAGAAACAAAAGGTTCATAAAATAAACTATTACTTTTGAACATCTCAACAGTTGTGGAAGTTAAAGGCCCCTCCATTATCCCTCTTGGATAAAGAATTACATTAAGACAATATGGGTTGGTTAGGGAGGGAGAGGGGAATGATAAAAAAAAGAAGAAGAGGAAGAAGAAATAAGGTAACAAGGTAATCTCCTCTACTGATTAAAGATACTAGAGATAGAGATAGATAGCCAATTCTTAATTATTCATAATTGAAGAAAAAATGGCATGGTAACTGAAATCCAGAGACAATTCCCAAATCTCATAATATTCACTGATTTGAATACTGTCTCTCATCAAGCATTTCATCAAAACTGTACTTAGTAGCAATCCAAATTCTGGTATAAATTTCCATATTCCCCCACGTAACACAAGAAGATGAGAAAGACTAGGTCTAGATGATTAAAAAAACTGAATAACTACCACCTGAAAATTGAGACAATGACTAGCATCTTCATTCTAAATACATTAAGCTATTGTATAAAGAATTTTTAAGCACTTAGCATTCCTTAAATTTTGTTAATTTGAGAGGAGAATGAACAAAAGGATAAATACATTACAACACATGACTCCTTCCAGAAACAGCTAGCAAATGAAGTGCAAAAACAGTATGAATTGCTATTTAACGTCTGGAATTCTCTCATTGAAAAAAAATATGCAAATTTGTCTCAATTTTATAAAGATTTTCAAGCCCTGTAATTCTAACTCAAGAATTAATTAAATTGGCTGGCCAATTTTATATACCTTTTTTTTTTTAAAGTTGGGCTTAACATTAGCCCTGTTCTATGAACATTTGACAACAAATTACCTTGTGGTATGACCAAAATCTTTATTATCTCCAATGCTACAAAAGTGACAAAAACATCAAGAAATGATGGAGTGAAAAAACAAAAGAGGAATATTATAAAATCTATTAAATAGAAGCCATATACCAGAAATGTGTGTTTCACTGCAGTACCCCAAGTTGTCAGTGCTAAATACTATTTGATGTAGAGAAGAGTACACCTCATAAGTACTGACAAGAAAACATTCAATACTTACAGTTATGTGAACACTGAGGAATTATCATTGCAATGTTGAAATAGTCAAAGCAAATCCCACATCTCAGCAAATCATCTACTGCCTGAAATATAAAAATACATCAAAAGTACTTTAAAGTTTTGAAATTAGTTAGGAAACAAACACATTCATTAGTATTAACCAACAAATCTTCATTAAATGAACCTTTCCACCCTAAACATTCTTTCTAGATCTTCCAGGAAAGACTATAACAATACTTTTTGTCTTCTTATCTTTTCAGTGTTCTCCCCTACAGCTTGAGGCAGTCAGCTGATCAGCTATAGTATGGCTGTTCTGCTCCTCTGCTCTGACAACCCAGACTGAATAGTACTAACCATCAAAGAAGCTGATCATAAAAATGATATACCATAAGAGATCATCTAGTTCAAGAACCTCATTTCATGGTTGAGAAAATGAAGGTCATAGAGGGTTGTACAGTATAACAGAAAGAACAATGAACTTTGGGAATGAGAGAGATCTGGGTGTGAATTCCACTTCTGATACTAACCACATGACCACAGAAAGGTCAATGAACCTATCTAACCCTCAATTTCCTCATCAGAAAATGGGGACAAAATCAGCCATAGTGCCTACTTCATAGGGTTGTTATAAGAATCAAATGTGACCATGGATATGAAGCACTTTACAACCCTAATACACTATATAAAGTCCCTTATTTTTTATGAAATGATTGGTCTCATATGCTAATAACTTGTTATAGCGATGGAACAAGAACCCAGGCCTGCTGACTAGAAACACAGTACTATTTCTACTACATAACACTAAAAAACAGGATTAAGAGACCTAGGAAAGACTAGGGCCAGTGAGAGCCAAAGGGAGGGCTGTCAGACAGACTGGCTAGAGTATCAATCAGGCAAGGAAGGGCTGCCCGGAAAACAATTCTTGCTAGGCTCAAGAAATCCAAAAAGGCATCGTTCTACTATAAGTTTCAAAATCTAATTATGGGGAAAAAGGGAAGGAAAGGGATTATTTCCATAGCACCCACTGTGTGCCAAGCAATGGGCTAAACACTTTTACAAATATTATCTCATTTGATTCTCACAATAACATATAAGGTAGGTACTGTTATCCTCATTTTACATTTGAGGAAATTGAGGTACACAAAGGTGACTTGCCCAGGATAACACAATGTTATGCTAACATCGGTAAAAATCAAAGCTTAATTTCAAGTTGCTAACATTTTCTCTGTGAAAATTACCTTCCATTTATATTGTATAAATCTTGTATGTATTTAGTTAGTTACATATTCCCTCCTCAATTGAAATGTAACCTCTTTAGGTAGAAATTGTTTTTGCCTTTCTTTATAATCCTCAGAGCTTATCAATACCTGGCACACGTGATTGTCAAATGCTTATTGATTGACCAGCTGAAGATTATTTTGAAATATGGTTTCATACTTTCAAAATAATACCTTCCATTCATATAGCACTTTATACATTCTTAAGTACTTTTACATATATTATCTCAAATTCTCACTACAATCTGTAAAGAAACTAACACAGGTATTATTCTCATTTTACAGATGAGGAATTGAGACCTTTACTTTCCGGGCTCCACTCCTAACTCTCTGGATTTTTTCCACATCAAGCCATAGCACTCTCCTCATCCTGCAAGTTCCATCCATTTTTGGTCTTCTCACTCTGTAGATTTCATCAGCCCCCCAACAACACCCCCTCCCCCATCCCACACACACTTTTCAGCTTCCTTCTAGGTATTGCTTCCAGTTAGCTGGTACAGTAGTGGATAGAGTGCCAGGCCGAGAGTCAGGAAGATGAGTCTTCCTGAGTTCAAATCTGGCCTCAGACACTTACTAACTGGGTGACCCTGGGCAAATCACTTAACCCTGCTTGCCTCAGTTTCCTCACCTGTAAAATGGAGAAAGAAATGGCAAACCTCTTCTTTGCCAAGAAAACTCCAACTGAGGTCACAAAGAGTTGGTCACAAGTGAAAAACAACTGAACTGAACCTCCCTCCATCAGAATATAAGCTCCTTGAGACCAGGGATTGTCTTTATTTTTGCATGTAATTGTGTTCCCAGGACTTAGCACAGTGCCTGGCATATATTAAGCAATTACTAAATGCTTGTTGGGGGAAAATTAATTTGTCTAAGTCTACACGGTGAATGAGGGGAGAAGGCAGCCCTGGGAGAGTGGAGAAAGACCTAAATTTGAATTCAAGCTCTGCCACGTAAGAGTTGTTCTGCTTTAGGCAAAGCTGATCTACCTCCCTGACCTTTGGTGTCCTAATCTGCAAAATGAAGAAAATACTTCAGATGTCTGTCAAGGTTATTATGAATCAGAAAGCACTCATTTATAAAACTTAAAGTCTCATAGGATGTGAACTATCAATGATGCTGCTAGAGCCTAGATAGTCTCACAATTATCTAGTCCAGAGCACTTTGCACTAGATCATTTCCCTTTTTGGAAGGGTTCAGAGTAACCTGGAAAATGGTGTTTATCTCCACCCAAGACACTTTTCAGAGAGGTTTCAGAAGCTGTTTCACCATGTCTACCCTTCAAGTGTGCTATTAGCATAGGCAGACACAGAGACCCAAAGGTGACTTCACTGAAGCAGAAACTCCTAGTGAGAATGCTCCCCTAACCAAGGTAAAGTAGCAACTTATAGCTCTCTAACTCCCTTCTCTCTCTTTTTCCTCTCTTCTCCCCTGCCTTTTTTAATATTCTAAATAGTCTTAGAGAACTGTCTGAGGCACATTGGGGTTACAGGATTGGCAGAGGGTCACCTAGCCAATAAGTATCAGAAGCAGGACTTGAACCCAGGTCTTTATGACTCCCAAGGCCAGGTCTCTATTCATCACACCAGGTTGCTGGGACAACACTGGTATTAAAAAAGCAAACTGTCAATCACTGAAAGCAATGTGCAATTTCTCACATGAAATCAGCCTACTCTCTTCTTGGTCAATTTTGGGGCCAGCTCATTATCCATGTTTAATATTTACCCATGATATGTTGCCCCATTACATATAAATTGATGACCTAACTCCATACATATGCCCATACGAATGTGTATTCTTCCACTTTGTTCTTCCTATGTGGAATGTAAGCCTGATCTCTCTAGCATAACTATGGATCTAGATGAGGAGGCAGGCCCTCTAATACTTGAGGACTTGAGAAATCAGCACTGAGGGGGTCACCCAGGAGCATCTATAGGGTATTGCTTGCCCACTTAGCCTCTGCACTTGAAAAACACCTTTTGGAAAGTATCCTCTCCCTGTTTTATGCCTTGCTTGATATAAATACACCGGGCCACAGAACAGAATTACTTTTTTGGTTCTGCCTTTTGTATAATCTAGACATATGTATACGATACACTTTATTGGAAGAGAGCCTTTAAGGACACATTTTGTTTTAGTAAATCAAATGATTTTTGCTAACAAACACAATGGCATCTTGTAATCTCAATACCAACTGCAACTACAAAGATGTAGTCTGTTGTGGAAAACTGTCAATGAAAGCCTGACTGTTTCTTTCTCAGAATTACCTCAAAGATAATATACACAATGTTAAATATATACTATATATCATTAACTATTATATAAGATGCTATCATATATCATCAACTATTAAGGACTATCTTTATGTAATAATATATAATTGTGAATATATGTTAATGTGTAAATGTGTATTTAATATACAGATTAACTATAGATTTATAAATTACCTATCATATATAATTTTATGATTATGTTACATACAAATATATAATTATATATAAGGGATTTACAATGTAATTATATATGGGAATTATAAGCAATATCCCATATATAATTCTATATGGAATATTCTTTAATAATTGATATGTGCTAATTACTTAATAATAGTCTGCATGTCACTACCATATTTCATAAATTCTTATGGGTCCCCTTTAATACTAGTAACTAGTATTTACATAGCACTTTAAGGTTTGTAAAACACTTTAAAATTATTTCATTTTATTCACACAACCATATATAGTATATTTAAACTTTGTATGCATATATACACGTAGATTATATATACTATACTATACTAATGCTATATGCTAATTATGTACAAATTCTAGATATGTGCATATGTACGTGCATATATATGTGTGTGTATAATTTAAATAGAGGAGAAAGGAACAAGAATTTATTAAACAGCAACCATTGTGCTTAGAACCTCACAAACATTTGTTTATAACTATACACCAATGCTATTATATGTGCATATATATGAAATTTAAAGGCATTTGTATGACTCTATCTGTAACCACACTCAGCCCTTAAATGCAAGCTTCTCCAGGGCCAGGTGCCTCCTCTTTGTCTGACCTCTCCAGCACCTAGGACAGGGCTTTGCAAACAGATGGTGCTTAGTCCACGCAGAGCTAAGCGCTGTACAAACATTACTTCACTCAGTCTTCACCACAACCCTGGGAGGTCGGTGCTACGATTATCCCCGCTTTACAGATGGTAGCACTGAGGCAGACAGAGGCGAAGTGAGTTGGCCAGGCAGGTCCCCCAGCTAGGAAGTGTCAGAGGCGGAATTTGAACTCCGGTCTTCCTGCCTTTCCAGGCTCAGCACTCAGAACATGGTGGCACCATCCCCACCTCACCCCCACACCCCCATCAAGACAAAATACATAGAAAGGGGGGGCAGCCTTGGGCTGGGGGGGAAGGGAAGGGCCGAGCCCAGCGCACCTCCACCCGCCCCAGGCGCGGCCGCCCCGCCTCCCCTCAGCCCTCCCGCTCCCAGAGGCGACCGCGGCCTGGCCCGGGGCTCCTCAAGGGCCGGGCGGCTTCCCCGCCCCGGGACCCCCGGTGCCGCCGCCTCCGCTAGAGGGCGAGGTCCGGCCGCACTCACTTTCATCTCGACCAAGCGCGAAGGCCACCGGTCCTCGTCTGGCTGAGCCATTGCGGTTCCGGGGGCTTCAGGCAAGGGACAGTCACTGCCAACTGTAACCGCTCTTCTCCCACCAGTCGAAATTACCCGCCCTCGATATACGTCACTACCGCCGCGGTCCTGTCATTCATCCGGCCCCTGACGGGCGCGGGGCTTGCTGGGAGTTGTAGTCCTCGCCGAGTGCAGCCTAAATCCCGGCTAGTTCCCTTGTCAAACTCAGGGAAAAGGGATAGATAGAGTGAGGGGTAAGTGTGTTGAGCACCTGCTCGCTTGTTGCCGAAAGGTGGGGCAAAGTAGTATCATAAGATCATAAAAGTAGAACTGGAAAGGATTTCTCTTAATAATCTTTAGTAATTGATGACATAATTAATTCCTTAATAACAATCTGCATGTCACTATCATATTCAATAAACGCCTGTGACACCCCATTAATAATAGTAATAGCTAGCATTTACATAGCACTTTAAGGTATGCAAAGCACTTTACAATTATTACTTCATTTTATTCCCACAACAACCCTGGGAGGCTGATGGCTATAATTATCCCATTTTATAGATAAGGGAACTGAGGCAAACAGGTTAAGTGACTTTCCGAGCTTCACACTAGTAAGTGTCTGAGGCAGATTTGAATTCCAGTCTTCTTGATTCCAAATCCAGAGCTCTAATCACTGTACTACCTATTACTTCCCCAATCTAATAAAAGCCCTAAATAACTTGACTCATCAATATTTCCAGCCTCATTATACATGAGTCCCCTGGATAATGCAGTAAAACTGTCCTTCTCGCTGTTCCCCACTCTAACCACTCCATATGGCATCTACATAGGGGCCATCCCCCCTACATAGAAAAGGCTTGATTAATGTTTCTTTCCTTCTCAATTCATTAGCAAATGTTTGTTGATTTTCAAATTGATAAAGAAATGTCAGGTGCCATATGGTACAATTCTCTCACTTTCCAGATGAGGGAACTGAAGATCACTAGGTTAAATGACTTGTCCAGAGTTACACAGGTAGTATCAGTGGTGAGATCGGAACCCTGGACATTTGACTCCAGACCAAAAAAAAGTACACACTTTCCAACAAGGTCTCTATGTCAAACTCTTTTTTTCATAATTGCTTTTCTTTGCCACAAGGGAAGGTTCAGTCTAAAGGAAAGGCAACGGAAGATGATTATGATATAAAGACAAAAGAAATCAATAAAATAAAAATATTTAATTTTTTTGTTCAGTAGTTTTTCAGTCATGTCCAACTTTTTGTATCCCTATTTGGGTTTTCTAGGCCAAGATACTGGAATGGTTTGCCATTTCCTTCTCCAGCTTATTTTACAGATGAGGAAACTGAGGCAAGCAGGGTTAAGTGTCTTGCCCAGGGTCACACAGCTAGTAATCTGAGGCCAGATTTGAACTCAGAAAGATGAGTCTTGCTAACTCCAGGCAGGTACTCTATCCACGCCGCCTAGCTGCCCAAAGATATTTATTAAAGGGCCTTATTGGCAGCTTCTGCCAGGGTTCATTCTTACTGAGGATACCCCCTCACTGCAAATTAATACACTAGCATAAAATTAGGGCTTGGATCTCTTGCTCTACTAAAAACACTCCCCAGCAGCTCTGTTTCCCTGATTAGATTTTTCTTGTGTGTGACAGAAAGACATTTGTCACTGTAAAGGAATTTGAGAAAACAGAATCTACAAGTCCAATCTGAACTACACAGTCCTCCATGACCCACTCTGACCCCATACCCTCTGGGAAGACATTCCCTGCCTAGACCAACCCACGCTGTTCTCTCCTGCCTGAAGTCCCAAGGCACTTAAAGTCTGTACTGTGCAATTTAGCCTTAATTATATATTGGCTTTTATTACTTTTGCTTCATCTGTGAGTCTAATAAGAAGTCAATCCAGAATGAGAGAATTTCAGAGTTATTAGTGATCACAGTGACCATTTTGTCCAAACTCTACACGAACAGAGAGAAACCCCCTCTCTAACATATCCAACCAGAGGTCACTCAGCCTTTGTTTAAAAACTTCCAACAAGGGGGAAACCCTTTCCTCCCCCAAGCATTCCATTCCATTTCTGTGTAGCTCTACTAGTTAAAAATGGTTTCCTCTAATCCAGCCACTTTGCAGTTTTCACCAACTGTTCCTGTTTCTGTTCTTGGGAACAAAGGAGAACAATTCGAATCCTTCTTCCGTATAAAGGTGTTTCTGATCCTAGGAAGAAAACTATAACATCCCCTCTGAGTCTCCCTTCTGTCAAGAGGCAATCACAGTTTCACAGAACTTACATGAAAAGTAGGTTTATTAGGAGAGGAATGAACATTCATGTGGAACCCAAAGAGTTCAACAATCCATACAGAAGTTTGCATATTTATAACAGGACAGCGAAGAAAAGAGGAGGGCCAGAATCCCCACCTAAAGGGGTGTAGCATGGGAGAGGTGAAAGGTGGAGTAAAGGTAGGAAAAGGACAAAACCCCTCCCGAAGGGGAGGGGCAAGGCCATGGCAAAAACCACATTCTTTTTCCCCTTAGGAACTGCTAGACCATGAAAATAGGATGGTCTGCTTATCTAGAAAGGTGCCAGCTACACATGCACTTTCTCACCCTAGTGCAGACTGACTGGCACCTGTCTTGACTCCCAAGGACTCACAGAGAGTCCAATTTGGCATGCAAACAACAAATTATGTCAGTTGACTGGGGAAGCAGGGAGGTTGGGGGGGGGTGGAGCAGGCATTGTTTCTGGAAAAGATGACAACTCAAAAAGACAAGTTCAGGGGACCCTTTAACATTCCTTCACACTTCTTCGGGCTCAATGTACCCAGTTCCTTTAACAGATCCTAGTTGCCTAGATAGCTCTGTGGATAGCGTCTTGTGCCTGGAATAGGGACGACCTGAGTTCAAATCCAACCTCAGACACTTACTAGCTTTGGGATCCTGAGCAAGTCACTTTACCTCTGACTGCCTCAGTTTCTTCAACTGTAAAATAAGGGATAATAATCCTCACAGGATCACTTGAGATAATATTTGTAAAGCACTTAGCACAGTGCTTAGCACATAGGAGATACTTAAATGCTTGGTTTGTTCTCGATCACCTACAACATGGACTCAAGGCTTTTTGTCATTCCAGTTGTGGTCTGCTAGAGATATCCAAGCTAATGGATGTCCTCCCTAAACTGTGGTGTCCTCAGCTGAACTTACTACCCTAAACAGGACCAGAGTTAAAGGGAATCTCACTTCCTTATTCCTGGAAGCTATAAGATTCTTAATGGAACCCACGGCTCTACTTTTTAGCTGCCCCTCATTAGTCCACTAAAACTTCAGATCTTTTTTCAGACAAACCACCTCCTAAGCATAACTTCCCAATCTCATACTTTTGACCCTGAATTTTTGAACCCATGTAAGACTTTATATTTATCTCTCCAGAATGTCACCTAGTTAGATTCAGCCCAATGCTCTAGAAATATGTTTTGGATCCTGACTGTCATCAAATCCCAGCTTTGTGTCATCTGTAAATTTGATAAGCATAGGTCTATGCCTTTATCCATGTCATTGATTAAAGTGTTAATTAGCAGAAGGGCAAGAGCAAGTCCCTGGGGCACTCATTTAAAGAGCTGTCACTAGGAATGGAGATTAGTAGACTTGTTTTACTTATACCCAGAGGGTAGAACCAGGAACAGAGGGTAAAAATGGGAGTGAGGCAGATTTCAATTCCATATCTGGAAAAACTTCCTAGTACTTAAGCCTATCAAAAAGTAGAATGTATGGCCTTAGAGGTAATAAGTTCTCCCATCCCTTACTTGAGGGTCTTCGAATGAAGTTTGGATGACCACTTGCTGGAAATATTATAAAAGAAATAGGTTTGGTTTTTTGGGTTTTTTTTTTATGTCATGTCCGACTCTTCATGATTATTTTTCAGCTTTTCTTGAAAAAGATACTGGAGTGGTTTATCATTTCCTTCTCCAGCTCATTTTGCAGATGAGGAAACTGAGGCAAACAGGGTTAAGTAACTTGCCCAAGGTCTTGCAGCTAATAAGTGTCTGAGGCCAGATTTGAACTCAGAAAGAGGAGTCTTCCTCGCTCTAGGCCCGGCACTCTATCCACTGAACTACCTGCACTGAATGATCTCAAAGGTCCCTTTTAACTTTCCCTCAGATCCTCATCCTTCTAGTCTTGCCATTCTGCAGTTCTCTGAGGAATTGAGTAAATAAGACAGAGACACAGACACACACACACACAAGTTCCTCAGTTTCCAATTCTAGGAATAATTAGAAAATCATTAAGTTGATTTTCCTGGAGAGGCCCCAGCTTACCATCTCAGCATAATCACTCCACCTTAGAATCTGAGAATTCATTGCTGAACAGCCCAGGCAGTACATGATGTAAAAGATGTTTGCTTGAGCAGGTCTAGAGCTATAGTCTATTATATCTTTATCCTTTATCCCGATGTTATTTCCAGATAGAAATCCATCTTTGGGTATACTTTTTGTTCTGTTTTGTTTTTAGAAAATACATTTTGTGTTTCATATATGTATAGATCAGAGTTCAAAATCAATGGTTGTTGGCTTCCTGCCTGAGATTAAAACTCTGCTTGGAAACTAGGGCTGATGTGAACAAAATTTCAACTAGCAGTTTTGCATCCGTTAGGGTCGGCCACCTGGGAAAAGACATGCTCCTGTGCACGTCTCCCTCTCTGCTCCTTGCTTTGAAACCTAGTCACTCACCTCTCCCCGCTCCCCGTGCAGGGAAGGCTTTCCTTCCCCTCCTCCAAATCTGAGCTTTCCCAGCTTCCTTCCAGATTCAGCTCCAGCCATACCTTCCTCAGCAGGCGTTTTGGGCCTCCCCATCTGCTAGAGCCTGCCCTTCCGAGATGACCTTCCCTCCACTCTGCACATGCCCTGCACCGCTGTTGTTGTTGTGTTGTTTCAGGTGTGTCTGACTCTTTTGTGACCCCATCTGGCGTTTTCTTGGCAAAAATACTGGAGTGATATGCCGCTTCTTACTTCAGCTCATTTTACAGATGAGGAAGCCAAGGCAAACATGGTTAAGTAACTTGCCCAGGGTCACAGGGCTAGTAAGTATCTGAGATCAGAT